GGGGTCCTCTAACGAATCCAAGCATTTAGAACAGTTGCTGAGTCTTCGTTAATTTTTTGTGAATTTTTTCTTCCCCCATAGGAACCAATTGAGCTGTCAGATTTTGACAGCTGTCAAAAGTTGGGGAAAAAAATTCACCATAAATTAACGAAAAGTCAGATCAAAGCCAAATTAACTTTTGCATCCGTTTTAGAGGGTGCAGAAGCTAATCCAAGCATTTAAAACCATTTTTGACCCTTTTATGACACACTTAAATTTGCAAAAATTGACTTCGCAAAGCCATTGAAATGCATTGAGTCAGCTTCAATACATTCCAATGGAGGAAACATTGTATCATTTAACGATGTTTCCTATGGGTTTTTTCGCTTAAGGACGGCAATCCGTGCCTATTGGAACGGATTAACCGGTTTCCAATGCATTCCTATGGGAAATGGTGTTCACATAATGATGTTTCACATAACGTTTTGGTTTTTTGGAACCAATTAAAATCGTTATGCGAGGCACCACTGTATTGATTGTGGGGTTCTGATTAGGTGGCTCTGAATCAGGTGGCTTGGGGGGTAACAAGTCTTATTTGCTGCACTTATGAGATCCTGGAATTCGGTGTCTAATATTCTGCATTTAATCAGCTGAAAGGCTTCCTTGTGGGGCAGGGAGCTAAGTGATTCCACTGACAGGCCTATTAGTGAGATTTTCTTTTCAATATAGGCAAGCTCTCTAGCGATACTTGGTTCTCAGAAAATGTGGTGTAAAAAACTGCCCTCTTTGAAGTTATAATGGATCTTCAACCAATTTTTGATTGATTACAGCCATGCCTGAGTCACTCCCATATTTTGGCCTGTCTCTAAACAGAGGGCTGCGTATGGCACACAAGTTGGTACTTCCAGGATTTTCCGCAGAAACATAGATTGGATTTGCTCTAGGGCAGAGGTCCCCAACCCGTGGCCTGGTGCCAGTCCGTGGCCTGAGCTGGACCAGGCCACGAGACAGACCTCCCACCCCTTTCGCATGCAGTCACCCCCCACAGATTTGTGAATGTGCGTAGCATGCCTGTGCAAAGTGGGCCACCATTAGCACATGTGCCCATGTGCCCACGTGAGCGCCACACCGCTGTTTGCACATGTGCACAAGCGTGTGTGCCCGCAGAAGAGCCGCACCATCGTTCGCACATGCGCACGAGCGCTGGAGTGCCCCGCCTTCCCCAGCAAGTCGGCGGGGTGAAAATGTTTGGGGAATGATTCCAGGCCTTTATCCATAAAGGTATGCCTTGCAATTTTGCTCTTGCTCCATCTATAATGCCTTCCATAACTTATTAAAACTCTATACTTACTTACCTGTAGAGTTTTAATAAGTTATGGAAGGTATTTGCATAGATGGAGCAAGAGCAAATATGCAAGGCTTTTTCAATATTCAGAATCAGCCATTGTTTGATGGCAAGACAAGATAGTAAGTCAAATCTAGCCTTCTCAAACCAATGTTGTTTACATGTTTAAGACTACAACTCCCATTATCCTTAACCATTGGCCATGCTTGCTGGTGCTGGAGGGAGCTGTTGTCCACAACATTGCTTTGGAATCTTATCCAAGATTTTACTCTTGACCTTAGTCAAAAGCCTGAGAAGCAAGCAGCCTAAGATGAAGGTTAAGTAGGACTTGCCAACTTCAATGCAATTTGCAGTTGCAACATTTACTGGTAACCAACTATGGTTCTGCAGCACTAAAAGTTTATTTCACTCTTGGAAACGCTATTTGAACCAATACAGGAAAAGAAACCCACATTATTTGTTTCTGTACCTGCTCGGTTCATGGGTCTTAATCTGCAATTTATTCATTTAAAAAAAAGAAAGGAAAAAAAGGGGAAAAAGAGAAAAGAGAATGGTTATACAACAGAACAGCATACTGTATTTAGTAAATGTCTGAATAAATAATCTAATTGCTTGTGCGACAACTCAGTTGATACATTTTATTCTTACGAATTGGTCATTTCAAGTCACACATTCTTTGTGTGGGGAGGTTATTACTTCAATTTGTTTTGTACTGAATCATTCTCCAACTTCTTATGATAGTTATATGCCTTTAAATTAAACGTCTCTTTTTTAATTGCAGAGCTTGCACCAAAATAGCCAGTCTTGACAGGTCCTAAGATAGATAAGACTTGAAGTCCAGCCTCACAGTTACTGTGCTGGCAAAAAATTAGGCCAAGGTGGCAGTAGTTCAGTTCTAACTAGAGATGGGGGTATTCATATTCATATACGAATACCCCTGCACAGGTGGACATAATGAGGGTCCAGCCCCCTCACCTTCTGCTGTTGCTGCGGGTTCCGCGCTCTCTTCCGATCGCTCCTGAGCTCGCAGTCTGTGAGCGACTCTTCGACCTGGCAGCGAGGCTTGTCTTCCCTCCTCCTGCCAGGAGTGGCTTGCAGACCACGAGCTCCGGAGCGATAGGAAGGTAGCGCGGAGCTCGCAGCAACAGAGGAAGGTAAGTGGATGGTCCGGCTCCAGGGGCCAGACACTCGTTATGTCTACCTGTGTGGGGGTATTTGTATCCGAATACAAATACCCACATCTCTAGTTCTAAGTAATTTCCAGCGTCCTTGCGCTGGAAGAGGTTTGCATTCAGCACAGCTTCAGTTGGCTTAATGTCATCTTTGCCAACCCTCCCCCATCTGAGCTAGATACAATTCCACATTAGCACTATGGCCTTGAAAAGTTAGCACAGTGGTTCTTAACCTTGGGTTACTCAGGTGTTTTTGGACTGCAACTCCCAGAAGCTTTCACCACCAGCCGTGCTGGCTGGGGTTTCTGGGAGTTGCAGTTGAAAAACACCTGAGTAACCCAAGGTTAACCACTGAGTTAGCATGCTTGGATTTTGGACTGCAACTCCCAGAAGCTTTCACCACCAGCCGTGCTGGCTGGGGTTTCTGGGAGTTGCAGTTGAAAAACACCTGAGTAACCCAAGGTTAAGAACCACTGAGTTAGCATGCCTGGATGCTATGTAGCTGGATAGAGAGAAGAAACTGCAGAGAGACTTCCATAAATCTAAATCACAGCAGCTCTGTTTGACATTTGAGAGGCATCTGACTGTAGCTTCCAAAATCCTACCCTGCCTCCTGTATTTGGACGACCCAAGCAGAACTGGGAAAAGCTGTTCTTTGTGGCAAGAGAAACGACACTTTTCAGACGTACAAAGCTGTAGCCCCAAAAGCAGTTTGTCCAAGCTCAGAAATAAAGGTTCCCATGCCTCATTTAATTAGAGTTGGTGCAGGAGCACTGTCTACAACATTGTTTAGATATCTGGCAGCGAGATAAAAGCAATCTGTTCAGTTTCTGGTAATAGGAAATTTAATTTTAGGCAACAGTATTTCAAAATGAAACTTGACTACATGGGGTGGGTACTTTACTTTGAAATTGTTGTTACACTTAAAAAATACTAATTAATTTATTTACTTAGGTAAAGGTTCCCTTTGACATTTAGTCCAGTTGTGTCTGACTCTAGGGGGCGGTGCTCATCCCCGTTTTCAAGCCGTAGAGCCAGCGTTTGTCTGAAGACAGTTTCCGTAGTCATGTGGCCAGCACGACTAGACACGGAATGCCATTACTTCCCCACCGTGGTGGTACCTATTTATCTACTCAGATTTACATGCTTTCGAACTGCTAGGTTGGCGAGGAGTTGGGACAAAGCAATGGGAGCTCACTCCGTCGCGTGGATTAAATCTTACGACTGCTGGTCTTCTGACCTTGCAGCACAGAGGCTTCTGCGGTTTAACCTGCAGCACCATTACATCCCTTGGATTTATTGACTTAGCCATTTTTATTCCAGCAATTCTGCCCTAGAGGAAAATATGGAAGCAGATTCCGAGAGTCAAGAGTCCTCTGTACTTGAAACTTCAAATAAGTCGGGAGAAGAAGCGGCAGGCGCCAGGGCTGGCAATGGCTGTGCCACCGAAGGACATGCGCCTCATTGCACAGAAGGTTGGGAAGATGCGTGTTTGAAACATGGCAAAGAAACCCCAAAGAAAATTCTCTGTGGCTATTTAAATAAATGTTCTGCTAAAGCACCAGTCAAGGCTTGGAAGTCCCGTTGGTTCTTCTATGATGAAAACAAATGCCATTTACTTTACTACAGGACAGCACAAGATCTTAATCCTTTGGGGAGCATTGACATTTCCAGTGCTAGCTTTGACTGGGAAAAGCTGTTCTTTGTGGCAAGAGAAACGACACTTTTCAGACGTACAAAGCTGTAGCCCCAAAAGCAGTTTGTCCAAGCTCAGAAATAAAGGTTCCCATGCCTCATTTAATTAGAGTTGGTGCAGGAGCACTGTCTACAACATTGTTTAGATATCTGGCAGCGAGATAAAAGCAATCTGTTCAGTTTCTGGTAATAGGAAATTTAATTTTAGGCAACAGTATTTCAAAATGAAACTTGACTACATGGGGTGGGTACTTTACTTTGAAATTGTTGTTACACTTAAAAAATACTAATTAATTTATTTACTTAGGTAAAGGTTCCCTTTGACATTTAGTCCAGTTGTGTCTGACTCTAGGGGGCGGTGCTCATCCCCGTTTTCAAGCCGTAGAGCCAGCGTTTGTCTGAAGACAGTTTCCGTAGTCATGTGGCCAGCACGACTAGACACGGAATGCCATTACTTCCCCACCGTGGTGGTACCTATTTATCTACTCAGATTTACATGCTTTCGAACTGCTAGGTTGGCGAGGAGTTGGGACAAAGCAATGGGAGCTCACTCCGTCGCGTGGATTAAATCTTACGACTGCTGGTCTTCTGACCTTGCAGCACAGAGGCTTCTGCGGTTTAACCTGCAGCACCATTACATCCCTTGGATTTATTGACTTAGCCATTTTTATTCCAGCAATTCTGCCCTAGAGGAAAATATGGAAGCAGATTCCGAGAGTCAAGAGTCCTCTGTACTTGAAACTTCAAATAAGTCAGGAGAAGAAGCGGCAGGCGCCAGGGCTGGCAATGGCTGTGCCACCGAAGGACATGCGCCTCATTGCACAGAAGGTTGGGAAGATGCGTGTTTGAAACATGGCAAAGAAACCCCAAAGAAAATTCTCTGTGGCTATTTAAATAAATGTTCTGCTAAAGCACCAGTCAAGGCTTGGAAGTCCCGTTGGTTCTTCTATGATGAAAACAAATGCCATTTACTTTACTACAGGACAGCACAAGATCTTATCGAGAAAAGATCTTGCCCCTCCTCTGTATGACAGCCTTTCAAATATTTGAAAAGTGCTATCCTAAAAGAAGACCCCCTCAGTCTTCTCTTCTTGAGGCTAAACATGCCCAATTCTTTCAGCCTTTCCTCATAAGGCTTGGTTTCCAGCCCCCTGATCATCCTTGTCACCCTCCTCTGAACTTGTTAGCATCCTTCCTAAAATGTGGTGCCCAGAACTTGACACAAGACTCAAGGTGAGGCCTAACCAGTCCTGAATAGCACCTTGCAGGATCTGGAAACTATGCTTCTATTAATGCAGCCTAAAATAGCATTTGCCTTTTTTGTAGCCCCATCACACTGTTGGCTCATGTTAAGCTTGTGATCTACGAAAATGCCAAGATCCTTCTCGATCATAGTTTTGCTGAGCCAGGTATCCCCCATCTTGTAACTGTGCAATTGGTTTCTTTTTCCGAGGTGCAGGACTTGCACTTATTTCATTCTGTTGCTTTCGGTCCAGTGCTCCATCCTATCAAGGTCATTTTGAATATTGTTTCAGTCCTAGGGTATTAGCTATTCCACCCAATTTGGTATCATCTGCAAATCTGACAAGCATTCCCTGTACTCCCTCATCCAGGTTATTAATAAAAATGTTGCAGACCACCAGGCCCAGGACTTGAGCCTTGTGGTACCCACTTACTACCCTTTCCAGTTTGAGAAGGAACCACTGATACGCACTCTGTGAATACAATTCTGTACCGAGCTGTGTATCCACCTTAGTACTGTAATTAGAATATCATGGGGCACTCTGTCAAGGTCTTTGCTGAAGTCAAGATACAGTATGTTACATCTACAGCATGCCCACTCTCTACCAAGCAGGTTGCCTGATTAAAAAAAATGAGATAAGATTGGTCTGGCAGGATTTGTTCTTGACAAATCCATGTTGGCTTCTAGTTATTTCTGTGTTGTTTTCAAGGTACTTTCAGAGTAGCTGCTTTATCATCTCTCCAGAATTTTCCTTGTGATTGTTGTTGGGCTAACTGGTCTTTTTAGTTCCCAGGTTCTTCCTTTTTGCCATTTCTGAAGATAGGGATGTTAGTCTTTCTCCAGTCATTTGACACTTTACTCATCCTCCATGATTTCAAGAAAATAATAGACAGTGTTTCTGAGATTTTTTCAGCCATTCCTTCAATATTCTTGGATGCAGTTCACCTGGCTTTGGAGATCTGAACTCATTCAAAGTAATGAGATACACCTTGACAATTTGTTTATTAATCTCAAACTACTGTACAATCCTATCCCATCCCTTCGTACTTCACATTTGCCTGAAGGAGCATAGACTGTCTTTTGGCAGAAGACTGAGCATTTCTACCTTTTCTTTGTTTTCCATTTTCCCCATCTCCACTGAGTAGCAGAGCTACTGTTACTTTTCTCTATCTTTTGTTCTGCACATACCTAAATAATACTGTTTGTTGCTTTTAGCATCTCTTGCTAACTTCAGCTCATTTCCTCTTTTGCCTTACTGATGCCATCCCTGCAATTCTTTGGTACTTGTCTGTAATCTTTCTTTGCAGCCTGACCATCCCTTCCACTTACTATATGTGTCCCTTTTTATTTTCAGGTCCTTTCTGAGTTTTTTGTGAAGTCACATTGGTCCTTTTTGCTGTCTTCCATCTTTTTATCTTATTTGAATTGTTTGTAGTGTACCTTTAGGGTTTTTTTTTAGAAACTCCCACCAATCTTGGACTCCTTTTACTGTTAGGATTTCCTGCCATGGGATCTTTAGCTATCATTGTTTTGAGTTCATTAAAAGTGGCTTTCCTAAAGTCCAGCATATACATGTGGTTACCCTCTGCTTTTGTTTGCTTTTAAATCAAGATCTCATGTAGAACATGGTCACCAGGGTGGATTTGATTTAAATCACATTGATTTAAATTACATTGATTTAAATCACATTTTAAATCACTGCAGAGTGGATAAAAACCAATGATATATTTTTAAAATAAAAAATATGAATTAAATTTTAAAAGTTATTTTTAAATATAAAAATTCAGATTTTAAAAATATGTATTTTATCCATCCTGCAGTGGTTTACATTGTGATTTAAATCAATTTGATTTAATTCAAATTAAACCTGATGGTCACTTTCCCCCAGAGTTCTCATTACTGCCACTTCTTCCACCAAGTCATCTCTATTGGTTAGAATCAAGCCCTGGGTAAGTAATCCTTTAGTTTCTTTGTCCACTTTTTCTAGGAGAAAAGAAAATGATCAGCCACTCAAGCCAGAAATGTCTTAGAAGTGTCATATTTGGCAGAATTTGCCTCCCAACAGATATCAGGATAATTTAAATCTTCCATTACTACTACATTGTTTCTCTTTGACATTCTTGCAAATTATTTTTCAGAGTCTCATCTGCATCTTCTCTTTGACTGTGCAATTGGTAATTAACTCCAGTTACACATTAATTTTGATTTTCACTCCAATTATTTTAACCCAGATGCTTTTAATGGGACAACCAAGCTCAAGCTCCTGTACTTCTGTATAGAAATACGTATTTTGGACGTATTATGACTTCACCTCCCTTTCTATCCTTTCTATTCTTTTTGAAGAATTTATATTCTTCAGTTGCTGTATTCCAGTTATGGGAATTATCCCACCAAGTTTCAGTTATCCTTATCAAGTTATATTTGCCTCCTGAACCATGATTTCTAGTTCTTCTTGTTTGTTTCCCATGCTTCTGGAATTCGTACATAGACACTGGAGACCGTGTGATTTGTGGCCTGCTTTCTCTATATATAGAATATACAGTGGTGCCTCGCTTAACGATTGCTTCGTATAACGAAAAATTCACTTAACGATGGCTTTTTCGGAGTGATCTTGTGCTTCACTTAACGATTTTCCCTATGGGCGATTTTCGCTTAACGATTTTGGGACCATGCTTCACTTAACGATGACAGTTTTAGGTCCCCTTGTTTCGCTTAACATTTTTTTTTACAGCCCCGTTTTTGCTATTTTTAAAATATTCTAAAATGTTTAAAAATGTTTAAAATGCTTGGAATCGTTAGTGCACCTAATAAAACCTTCGTTAACTTAATTTGGCTTTGTTCTGAGTCTTTTTGAATTTTTTGTGAATTTCCCCCCCCCATTGAAATAGGCTTCAATGCATTTCAATGGGTTTCGCTTAACGTTTTTTCCTATGGGGATTTTCGCTTAAGGATGGTAATCCATTCCAATTGGAATGGATTATCCGGTTTTCAATGCATCTCTATGGGAAATGGTGTTTCGCTTAACAATGTTTTCACATAGCGATGGTTTTTTTGGAACCAATTAAAATCGTTAAGCGAGGCACCACTGTATATAGAATTGCTCCAGAAAGCCTGAATCTGTTGGTTTTTATCATTTATAGTTGCTGTCGATTTAATAGAAATCTCAGTCATTTTCCTAGACCTTTCCAGGTTGGGCACTCTGGTGCTCTGCACGTATCTCAGGCTGCAGTACTCATCATCTCCTAATTAGAGCAGACAGGAATCAAGAATGATTTGAATTGTAGTTAGAAATATCTGAAGGGCACCAGGTTGCTTCCCTCATTACAGTTCATGGAAAGAGAATCATAGAGGGCAAAGATTAAATCTGATCAGTATGTATGTCCTTAACAGAAAGTGAAACATTGGTAACCGTAAATCACTTTTTTGTTTTTCATCTTAGTTCATTTTTTAAAGTATAAATCAAAATAAAGACAAAACGAATTTGTACTATTCACAATATAGATGAAATATCCAAATAATGTTGTCAAATAAGGAGAGTCAATGATTGATCTGTATTGGAAAAGAGTGGTCTGGTGGTACCCAGTGTGGCTTAGTGGATTGAGTGACAGACTAGCATTTGTGAAATCTAAGTTTGAATCCTTTCTTGTCCATGGAAGCTCACTGGAGCAGGGGTAGCACTCCTTAAATATCTCACTTACCTTGAAAACACTACTGTGATCATTGTAAGTCAAGTGCAGCTGCACAGCATGTTATACACAGACACTGGAGCAGAAGGTACAAAGAAGGGGATTCATTAAACATGTTGTACCATAGGAATGGATGGGAAGAGGGAAGAAGGCATAAATTGCTGAGGTTGTCTGCAAGGCTTATAAAGGGGTATCATACAGAAAAGAATGAGTCGCAAGCTGAGCACTTCTTAAAGAAGTGATTCAATGTGTTAATTTTTCCGTTAATGCTATCACACTGAGCTGTCCTCTCCAATTCTATAATGACATTTTTTTGCCAGCTTTCCAGTTGAGGGCGATTTCTAGACATGCTGTCAAGCACATATACAAAAACCAACTGTTTGTGCTTTATGTTACTATTATTCCCCCCCCACACACACACACACGGATCAGACACAGTACACCTCGTTAGGACTTAACATCTTCGTTTCTATTAATCTTGATAGCTATGATTACAGTACAAATGTTGAGTAGAATAGAAGCCTTCAGTTACACACACACACACACACACACACGGATCAGACACACTACACCTCGTTAGGACTTAACATCTCCGTTTCTATTAATCTTGATAGCTGTGATTACAAATGTTGAGTAGAGCAAGGAGCCTTCAGTTGCATTATTTGCACAGTTTTCTCTTTTCAAAATGCCCTGATTCATTGTGGGAAGGAAGAAACATTTGCTTTCAGGAAATTGCTTTAACAATTTAACTTTTTAAGTGAATTTCTCTTTGAAGACGAGGACTGCCGGCATGATGCATGACAGTGTCCTGGACCCCTTGTTTTCTGATGTTTAGCATTTTAGGCATGGAAAGTTCAAGGTGTTTTTTTTAATGAAACAAAACCTATAACTTTAGCAGATTAGAAGTGTCTGTATTTGTTTATTTAAAAACAACTACCACTTGTATCGACATAAAAGCATAAGCCAAGATGTATTGGCCAAAGTTCCCCTCTAGTGAAAGAGTCGACAGAACAGATTTTGTAATTCAAATGCCAGCCAACCTTTCTAGAACTGGTGTGGATTCTGCTTTTCCAAAGCTCAAGGCTTTGTCTCACAAACGTGGATGGTGGATTTTGGCTGTATCTTTAGGCATTACTCAAGTTGTGAGGATCGCATACAGTACTGACTTTCTTTCCCATCTATTAATTGTTTAAATTGAACTACTGTCAACAAACAGGCTGTCAACAAACAGGCCATGATGTACTGGTTGCAACAGCTGCAGATGAAACGCTGGGAGTTCTGTAATAACCAGGCAAGAGGTTTTGTGGAGGAAGATGCTTTTTTCACCTCTTCTGTGAATGAGGAGCGATGTAATAATAGTAAGTAACACCAGCATGACTACATTGACCTTTTTCTCCACTGGAGGCCAGGATTCTAATCAGTCACTTTACCATTCATATTGCTCATGGGTTCACTGTACTACAGTTTAGTTCCACAGATACTGATTCAAATGAGGCTTGTATAGCTGAGACTTATTTAGAGCCATGTGGTTATAGTTCACTCACTACAACGTTTAATGAGTTATTTCTAAAGTGTTATTACCAAGAGACAAAGAATCAGAGCTAGGAAAAGTTATTATGTTGGCCATACCCAAATTCTCATAATTCTGGGAATCTCGGTTGAAAAAATGCTTTTTTAGACCGAGATTCCCAGAATTATGAGAACTTGGGTATGGCCAAAATAATAACTTTTCCTAGCTCTGATACTTTCTCTCTTGGTATGTGAACTACATTTCCCAACATTAAGTCTCAGTTCTTTTTGAAGCTTCAAGCCACATACACAGAACAGGGCAGGTGGGTTTTCTGTATTATAGTTTCCAGGACCATCCATCCAGCATGTTCAGTCACTGTGCTTCTGGGAGATTCTTAGGAGCTGTAATACAGAAAAATCACATTCCAGTTTCTGATTATGTGGTTTGCAGGTCTTTGATTTGTACTACTGCTTTGAGGAATGACTTTGTAGGCTCCTTCCAACTTTACAATTATTCAATTGAATATGATTATTCAATGATTCTGTGCAATGGAGAACGGATTGTGCCTGTCTGCCTTCTGCCTTTGGTCCGGCTCCACCCTTTGAGCCTACCTGATAGGTACAAATTTGGAGATCCTGTTGAAGCTTTAGGAGTTCAACCTGCTTAGGCCTGGATCACATGATTTCTATCCTCCAAGTTCAAGAACAGAGTACAGATCTCATCTAGAGAAGGGGCAAATATTCGACGAAAATAGCCAATTCATTAAAAACGGATCGGCTTTTTCGACGAAAATAACCAATTCATTATATTCGTCCCTTCATATTTGTGGGTTCCAGAGACCCCCACGAATACAAAGGGATGAATATTTCCCCATTTTTATTTGTCCTTCCTTTTTTAAAAAAACCCACGATGAATATTTCCCCGTTTTTATTTGTCCTTCCTTTAAAAGAAAAAAACCCACGACATTCTGTCTACCGGCTGCTGATCAACTAATTGGTGGCTGATAGACAGCCACCACCCCCCACAGCCACCCACCACCACAGCCTACCCCCTTCCTCTCCCTACCTTAGCCCCCATCCCACCGACATCCCCTTTCCTTAATCGCCACTGCCGAGGTCTTCATCTGGACTCCCAACCATGGCATGTAAAAAGGGAGAGTGGCTGCCCTTTACAAAGATGGCGGTTGCAGCTTCATTTAGGGTAGGGAAGCTGCAGCTGCCATCTTTGCAAAGGGCAACCTGGATTCCCTTAAAGCAGGCTAAGGGGTGCGGCACCGGCGTGGCGGTGGAGGGTGCTGGCAGCGGGTGTGGCGGGTGTTGTTCTTTTAAAAAAATAACACCCTCACGAATCGACAAATAACTTTGTTATTTGTTGCTTCACAGAGGCAACTTTGTGCTTTGTGAGTTATCAGCTTTTGATGATTCACGAAGCGGGACGACTTGCTAAAATGGTCAGTCGTCTCCATCTCTAATTTCATCACATGGTCTGATACTCTACACTTGAATTCTATATACAAAAGGCCTCTGTTTCAACAAATGAGCAGAGTGGAAATTGGTTTGTTGAATGGAGCTCCCCCAAACCAGCATCTCTTGGAAACCATCAGAAGTAGAGCCCTCTGGTGCGTACCCACCTGTTTGTTCTCTTTCTTCCAGTACTGAACTTTGCTTGGGATAGCAGAATGTTTATAATTGAAATCTGACCATCCCACTTGAGTTTCCTCTTGTTCTACGTGTACAGACAAATTTAAGGGAAGCCAAAAATTGGATGTCTTTTGTTTGCCCAAGTGTTTGTAGTTTTATGTGTAACCGGCAGCCGGGAATTCGTTTATTTTTTTCTTTGTTCTCTTCAATCAACCTGATGATGTCTTTGCCAAGATATGTTTGTGTTGGCTATTCCTGAATTCCATAATTTATACTGTACTTGTTTCTTTGTAGCTGATGCAGAACATGAGTTTCTACCTCCTGTTAAAACTCCCGCTGATGATGTAGTCGGCATAAAGGCAGCCTCTCTACCAGCACCACAGCTTTCTGTTGCTCTTCAGAACATCTCCCTCAAGCATCCTTGGATTGAAATACAGTAATGGTTTTATATATTTAAATTCCAGAAATGTAAATTAATCTTCCTTGAATCAATAATTAGTCATCTCAGTGACTAATAAATGCCTTTCTGCATCATAATGGGTCTTCAAAGGCAAGCATTGGCTTTACCAAATGCATAAAGTTCCACACTTGCCCAACTGCAGGCTCTTCAGACATGTTGGGCTACATGTTTCATCAGCCTCAGCCAGCAAGGCAGTTGTAGAGAATGATAGGCATTGTAGTACAATAACATATGGAGAATGCCAGGTTGGGGAAAACTTGAATGCATAAGGAAGGTATTGTGTGTACACAGAACCAGCAGGGCTCAATGAGAAAACTATTATACAATTTTTTTGTTTGTTTATTTATTTATTTTAAGCAGTTCTGTATCATGTCTCCATCTGCATAGATTTCCAAGCAGTGTAGATGAAAAAGAAAAATTCAGTGTGCTATAATAAATCATATTTTAAAACATAAATGGTAAAACTAGGAGACTTAAATTTGCCAACCAGCAGCAATACAGATTGAAACATCTAAAATGACTGTAGGCGTCCTTCAGTCTCAAGAGAATATGGTAACATGCTCTGACTAATGTCTCCATCTGCATAGATTTCCAAGCAGTGTAGATGAAAAAGAAAAATTCAGTGTGCTATAATAAATCATATTTTAAAACATAAATGGTAAAACTAGGAGACTTAAATTTGCCAACCAGCAGCAATACAGATTTAAACATCTAAAATGACTGTAGGCGTCCTTCAGTCTCAAGAGATTATGGTAACATGCTCTGACTAGAGGCCTTCAAACAGCGTCTAGTGCGGCTGAGAAGTCTAAAATGACTACGTTGATGAAAATTCCTGAGCAGGTTTTGAGTAGCACTGAAAAGAGTACAGTTTTGGTCTCAAGACTGTCCTTCTAGGTAAAGGTAAAGGTTCCCCTTGACAATTTTTGTCCAGTCGTGTTCGACTCTAGGGGGCGGTGCTCATCCCTGTTTCCTAGCCATAGAGCCAGCGTTTTGTCCAAAGACAATCTTCCGTGGTCACATGGCCAGTGCGACTTAGACACGGAACGCTTTTACCTTCCCACCGAGGTGGTCCCTATTGATCTACTCACGTTTGCATGCTTTCGAACCGCTAGGTTGGCGGGAGCTGGGACAAGTGACGGGAGCTCACTCCGTCACGTGTATTCGATCTTAGGACTGCTTGGTCTTCTGACCCTGCAGCTCAGGCTTCTGCAGTTTAGCCCGCAGCGCCACCACGTCCCTTCTATGAATCACTTAATAAAGACAAAGGAGTGCATATCTGATGAAAAGATAAAGGATAATACTGTAGCTGATGATTTGATGGCCTTGTAGGCCCTTTCCAACTTCACTTTTCTATGATTCTATGATTCTAAACTTTGACTAAGTCTAAATTCTGCTAAAGTCAGTAGGAGGCTGTTCACTGCAGTTTATTGCCAGTGGATGTGGCATATTGAGGCTTATGGGTGTTTGTGTTCATACTTCAATTTTAAAAGTACCTTTTTTTTGAAGATCACTTCTGTCTAAATCACGTTAAAAAAAATCTTTTGAAATAATATGTGAACATTGTTGAAAACGAACTGTTTGCTGATGCTTCTCTTCAGGACTTTTTTTCTTTAAAAACATCCCCAAACTGAAAGCTTCTGATTGGGGATTCTGAGTGTATAATGAACTTCCACTCACTTATTATCCATTAGCTTCAAATAGCATCTTGAACTTTAAAAAAAGGAAAAAAAGCCCAGTTCCTTTCTGGGGCTTCTGCTCTGGAGCTATTTTTGACTGATTGGTGCATCTGCACTGCAGAAAATACAGAGAAAACATCTTTCTGGGACGTCGCCACGGCACTAAGCTTCATCCTGTAAGAAGCCAGAACAAGAAGAACCATATTCTTGCAGTAAAGACACAGAAGGTCAGGGTTTTTGTCCCTCAGTCCCAGTTTTGGAACCAAGATAAGCCTTGCCTCATTTAGAGGGCAGGGAGAATGACATCAGTGGATAACCAGGTACTTATTGGAGAACAAATATTCCATCTGGAATAGCTCATAAATGCACAAAAACAGCCAAGCATGGTGTTTTTAGTCCACTGCACCAAGTCTGACTTGCCTGTGCTTTGTGTATATTTATTTATTTATTTATTTATTGTCATTCTATTGTTTCCCAAACTGAACGTGGAGTCTCAGCTTTTTTAGACTCTCTGCTATAATCTAGTTATTCCCAGTGTGGTATAGTGCAGGAGATCACCAACCCCCTGGTCTGTGGCCCAGTGCTGCTCCGTGGCCATGGCAAGACAGGGCTGTGGAGACAGATCTCCCCCCTGCATGCACTCCCCGCACGCACCCCACCTGCACACATTGGTGCCCCCCCGCGAGCATGCCCCTCCCCTCCGTGAGCACGCACTGCGCATGCCTACAAGCACTCCCCTCTGCAAGCACGCCCCGCCCCTCTGCACATGCGTACAAACACCCCCCTCTCCACCATGAGTGCAGGGGTGTGCCCTGTCCCCCCACCAGTTTGCGATTCAGAAAAGTTTGGGGACCACTGAGTGGATAGAGTAACGGATTAGGACTCTGGAGAACAGGGTTCAAATCTCTGCTCAGCCATGGAAGCTTATACAGTGGTGCCTCGCTAGACAATGATAATCTGTTCCACTGAAATAGCTGTTTAGCGAAATCATTGTCTAGCGAAAAACAAATTGTCATCTAGCGAAAATCAGTTTGCGAAGCAGGGACCAAATATTGTCCAGCAAAATTCCCCCATAGGAATCACTGTTTTGCGAATCGCTATAGAAATCGTAAAAAGTCAATGGCTAGCGAAAAAAGTGTCATGCGGGGTAACTGTCTAGCAAGGCACGACTGTAGTTGGAACTGATAAAACCACTCTTTAAATATCTTACTTACCCTGAAAGCCCTGTTAGGGTTGCTATAAGTTGGTTTTGACTTGACAGCACAGAACACGTACATTATAAACGAAAAAAATCCTAATGGCTGCAAAGAAATTTAGGACTTAGATTTGTGAGCAATATCTGATAAAAATCCTAAAAGAAGAGAACTGAATAAGATTTCCAATGATGGGGGAAAGGTGAGGCAAGTTTAAAAATGACCTCCTGTGGCCCTTGGATTGGCTTCTGTCCCCTCTCCATAACTCACAAAACAAATTGCACAGATAAATTATGTACAGTTATGTGATCTTATTGATGTGATGTGAGGAGAAACACCCTTTTTGCCTGTACATCTTGGAAAAGGACCTATCATTCAGTTGTGCTGGTGAGACACAGTGACTATCTTGGTGAGCAACTTAGTTTTGTGTAAGGGAAACCTTGTTTTTGTTAGACTGATAAGCTTGTGCGTAGGCTGTATCAGTTAGATGGAAGTTCACTCTCCCAATATAAAGAACTAGCATGCCAGAGAGAATGCTACACTGGAACCAATCATCCTGACATATTTGCCTCCTATATACGGGGTGTGTTTTGTATGGAGGGGTATGTGGTCACATGAGGGCCCATATCAATTTAAACTGGTAATGCCCAGGCATAGCTTCACTGTCTTATTAAGAAAGAACAGGGATGGAGGTCAGGTCCGTAGCCATTTATGGCTCCTGTTTGATTCTACATTTCCAGAAACACAGTACATAATCTTTGTGGTGGCCGGCAAAACCGAAGGGACAGTGATGTATTTGCTATTGAGGTCATCCAGGATAATGCTGAAAATGTGGCTGAAGAAGAGCACATAGAAGCAGAAACTGAAGATGCAGGTACTTATTTCTGCATGATGTGAAAGAATGAAACACATAGTTTGTGCAGTATTTTCTGCACCCTCTTCAGTGCCATTACCGCTGTTACAAGGGTCAAAGCGAATGAAGTCAAACGAAGGGGAACAGATGTCATTGCGGAATCCTAAGGATATGTGTTAGCCTTCTCTGGCATCCTATTGTCTGTAGCGAGGGATGGCACAGAAATAAGGATGGCTACCCTCTTACTCTGGATGACATGGCTAGGTGGCTTAGTGCGGCTGCACTCTTTCCTGTGACGCTCTCTTGATCTTGGCCAGTCAGATTCAGGATTGGCCTGCTAAGGGAGCAGGACTTTCTTTGCAGACCTGAAGCAGAGAGCATCCGTCTCTGATCTGCCTAGAAAACAGCTGCCTAGAGTGGTCATACCGACCAGATAGGCAGGATATAAATTGAATGAATGAATGAATGAATGAATAAATGAATGAATGAATAAATGAATAAAAGATGAATGTAATAAGCCCTCCCAAGACAGGTTGCACCTGCCTTCTCTCAGACATTTTCTAATCTTCCATATCATGCATGTTGGTTTTCTTTCTTTTGTGATTGGTCACCAGAAGGTTAAAAACAGGACTTGTGGCAATCCTATGAATGAGTGATCTTGAAAATGTCCTGTCCTCAACTCCCCGGCTCACCTCCTTTAAAGTCAAGCTTGTGGCTTCCTTGAGGGAGTCAATTCATCTCATACTTGGTCTTCCTCTTCTCCTGCTGCCTTCATCATTTCCCAGCATTGTCTTTTCCAAAGAATCTTGTCTCCTCATGAAGTGTCCAAAGTACGACAGCCTCAGTTCTATTGTGAATAGGAGAGACATGATCCATTTGTGTGTTCCATAAAACCTAGCAAGTTATTCAAATTAATTTGCTTCCTCATGACAATGAGAGGATTCTTCATCCTTGTATATTTTCCCTTCATTCACAGTAGAGAGCCAAAAAGACAGAAGAATTAACTTAAAATCACATTTGGCTGAAAGAATGAAAAAAGTGAACAGCAGTTTCCTTTCCTTCGCTGAAGGGACTGGCCAGGAAAAAGCAGCTTCTCTTCGGCACCAAGTGTTGGTACTTTCAGAGGAAGTAAAGTCTCAGAAAGTAAGTCCAGGCTCACAATGTCAATTTCTGTGGGCTGATTCACAATATTGTGTAAGAAGTTGTTTTCAGATGCATAGAATGTGCTTGGCTTTTGGTTATTAGGTCAATTTATCTAATTATTTTTTATACTCTAGTGGCATCTTCCATGTCCGAAAAGCCTCTCAGAGTGGCTTGTGGAAACAATGTAAAGACATACCGGTAAATGTAAAGAAAAACTTGCCAAAAGCACAACAAAAACATTTATTCAAAGTGTTTTTCCTTGCTTCAGTGTTATTTCGTGCTTCCTTTAAGGTCTCAAAAGGGTGTCTGTATCACAATTTTGGTAATATGCACACTAGTTAAACAAAGCCTGTTAATTGTTTTGTTAAGTTGTTTAATCCATTATTTAATAGTTTGTGTGAAACTTATAATTTAAGCAGAATGCTTCCCTCATACTTTACAGCTGAGACCTACGTCCTCAGAGATTGTCAGTGGTATCCAAGTTGGCTGTGGGTTTCAAGATCCTGTTCAGTACACCCAAGAATTTAAAATGTCTTTTAAAAATAACACTGTTGACTCAGCAATTCACATTAATGTCTTCCAAGCTGCTTTCTTCTAGTTCTGAAGATACAACCGTTTTTGTTCTTAAACGCATGCCCTTGACTCTAACTTTAAAGGGAAAACACTCAAAATAAATGAATCACTATGTTCTTGTATAGCTACTTGTTATGATATGATATGTGATATGAGTGCCATCAAGTCAATTGTGACTTACAGCAGCCCTTTTCAGAGTTTTCTAGGTAGAAAATATTTAGAAGTGATTTCCCATCTACTTCTTCTGGGGGCATCCTGGGACTGTGCAGCTTTCCCAAGGCCACACAGGCTGGCTGCCCTGGGAGGCACAGTAGGGAATTGAATTCTCAACCTTTGCAGCCAGATACCTAACTCACTATATTATCCAGCCAGATAGCTGCTTGTTAACTATGCATTTGATTAACTGGGCTAACACCTTCCTCTAGACCGGGGGTCCCCAGCCCCTGGTTCTTGGCGCGGTTCTGGTCCATGGCCTTGGCAGGATCAGGCCACGGAGACATATCTCCCAACCCCCCTGCACGCACACACGGCCTGCCCACCCGCACGCACACACAGGTGCCCCACCCCCACAAGTGCGCCCCACGCCATCCACACATGCGTGTGAGTGCACCCTGCACCTGCAGGTGTGCTCCACGCCATGTGTGCGAGCATGCCCCCCTATGAGTGGGCCCCGTGCCATCTGTGTATACGTGCAAGCATGCCCTGCTCCCCACAAGCACAGGGGTGCCCCCAACTGGTGTGCGGTTCCGAAAAGCTTGGGGACTACTGCCAGATTATTCACTTGAAATGTTGGCCAGTAGAGATGGGCATGGACTGCCAGTTTGGTGGTTTGGGCTGGATTGTTTCTCAGCCAAAGTGGTGTTCACTGCTTCCCAGCCTTGTCTCCTCTGGTGGGCACCCACTCAGAGGCAGCACCCCAGCTTTTTTGCCCCACCTCCTCTTTTTTTTTCACATTATAGGCAAATTAGTCCAGTTACACCAATTGCCTTTAATATCAGTAAGGAGAAACATAATCTCAGGTGAAATTCCCTGAAAGACAGAAATAGAATAGAATGAAATGTATCATTGGTCACTGAGGCCAATGGCTCCCGAGTCCATAGAGTGCAGCCAACATCTCAGTTTATCACAGGCTAATCTATTTTTATTTACCTCATCTCAAATACGGGTAGCTGGCACAACAGACAGTTGATGTATCTGTATATCTCTGCCCATAGTAAAAGAGGTAATCTGTATGTGCTGAACTGCAAGATAATGAAGAAGGTTTGCTTTCTTTTTTTATTTTTTCCAACTTCCACAGGAACTAGTTAAACTTCTCCACAAAGCTCTGGAGGCGGCCCAGCAAGAGAAACGAGAGTCCTGCAGATACTTGGCCACAGCAAAGGAGAAAGACAGGCTGGAATTGGTGCGACACAAAGTGAGGCAAATTGCTGAGCTGAACAAAAAGGTGGAGTTGTTGGAGATGGAGAAGAAAGAGCTCTTTTCCGTCCATAGAAACTACAGTGGAACCTCTACTTAAGAACTTAATCCGTTTTGGAATGATGTTCTTAAGTTGAAACGTTCTTAAGATGAAGCAAAATTTCCCATAGGAATGGACTGAAAACCAATTAATCCGTTCTGGCTGTTTTTTTGTTATGTAGAGGTGCGTTTGTACATTGAAGCATTAGTTCCCATAGGAACTAATGCAAAGCTGGTTAATATGTACTCTACCACTAGGGGGAGAATTTTTTTTTAACCTAAGATGACCTTAAAAAAAGAGCAGGAAAGGTATTTTTTCCTGTTCTTATCTTGGATTTCTGTTCTCAAGTAGAAGCAAAATTTAGCAAACGGAGCTGTTCTTAAGTTGGACTGTTCTTAAGTAGGGACGTTCTTAAGTAGAGACCCCACTGTACATTAGGAAGTGGAAGCTCTGAGCTCATTCCTTTCACAATGGTATCTTGGCTGTGTGTTATTCCCTGGAGGGTACTTGTAATTTTGCTTCAGGCAAGTCTGTATGTGGCATTTTCCCACAGGAGCATCTGAAAGTGGTATAAAATGTAATAACTGGGCAGAAAATCTGGTTTGAAAAGATCACAGACTCGTTTTTAAATGTCTTTCTCTCTCTAGAGCAATAAGTACATGATTAAAAAGTATGGATGATGTTTCCTGAAATCTAGCCAGAGGTGCAGCTCTATGTGGTGCAGCTCCATAAAATTTCCAGGGGCTGAAGAAAGGTCTCTGTAGCCTTTTGGTTCTCCCCTTAACTAGTAAGACTAGGATAAATCTGTCTAAAAGTCTCTAAAAGTAGGATAAATTATGTACTTACAGCTTATCACAGAAGTGAGTATACCCCCTCACATTTCATAAATATAACGCAACACACAGCCATTAGTGTCTAAACTGCTGGCAACAAAAGTGAGTACACCCCTAAGTGACAATGTCCAACGTGGGCCCACTACCTCAGGGCAGTATTCCAACATGATAATGACCCCAAACACACCTCCAAAATG